TCAGATTGTAAATGTTGTGGGTTTACTCTCCAACACATCGGTGTGCTGAAGTAGTCACTAATTGGCACGTTTTGCTAACGTGACACACCTTACGATGTGGCTGTGTCTGGTGGTGGGTCAACGGCACATTTATATGAACGCGATCTAACTCTAATATAACTTTATGATAAACAACTGGCGACTGAACTATCGAGAGCACAATAATGTTGAACATTGCCCAGATACTGCACTGTAAAATATCAACCCCTTGCATCATTTATGGCTTCCAGGCAAACACATTGCGCAATCGCACTACAGGATATTTATTTAGGTGGTGGGGCGAATGATCAACCTATACATAGCACCGCACCCGGCACGCCACATTCAGGATACCTCTCACGATGGCTGCGGCTCGTAGTCACATGCCTCACCCAGGCAGGCCACCAAACAAGCGTTCAGGAAAATAGTGAGAGACGAAGCCCATGGTCAACCCAAGGTTCTTGCCATGTGCAGCAGGCACAGTCAGTATTGTTCAACTAGAGCAGTGTTTTACCCTTTAAACTGGTACAAAAACTGACACCTTTATACAAGGCATCATGTTTGCAATAACCACAACACAAGCCGTCAAAATGCAAACAAAAATAAACAACTCTGATTATGATAATGATATGCACTGTCATTATCATTCTCAGAGTTGTTTATTTTTGTTTGCATTTTGACTGCTTGTGTTGTGGTTATTGCAAACATGATGCCTTGTATAAAGGTGTCAGTTTTTGTACCAGTTTAAAGGGTAAAAACCTACTACTATATTTTGCCACTGGTAAAGGAAATGTCTCATAGTGTAGAGCAGTGTTCTTCATTGAAGGCCCGCAGTTCATCTGGCAGCCCCTGGTGGCCTTTCGTGCGGGCCCTGACGTGTGGTCCCCGAAAATACACAAATGTGAAAAGACCCCATCGTGCTGTCAAACCCAGTCGTTTCCAATGTGTGGATTACCTCTGAAAATTAGTGAAGAACACTGAACTAGAGTAACCATTACGACGTGTTCCACCAACCCCACACGCAAGTGGCTCAATTACTCTACTGCTAGAAGTGCCAGAGGGTGGGGGAGAGGTGGCACAGGTGGTTTTTAAATCCTTTATATTAAGTTCGCTTGCTTGCTTGCGTGCTTGCGTGCTTGCTTGCTTGCCTACGACCGTGCAAATCTTTCGGTCGTTTTTTAACCCACTTCCCGTGATCCAATCGAGCTGACATTTTGCACACAGACTCGTTGTGCTAGACAATTAATGTTCGTGAAATTTTTGTTCAAAAATTTTACACTGTTTAGGGAAATTTTTTTAAATATTTAATTACCAATTGCTTAATACTGGCAGACACTCATCTGACCCATAGGTGGCAGCCATCTCAAGCCAGAGGATGAGAGGACTCTAGCCGCCATGTATATAAAGGATTTATAGTGAAAAACTTTGTTTTTACGGGTTATACTTATTAAATCATTTATATTAAGTTCGCTTGCTTGCTTGCGTGCTTGCTTGCTTACGACCGTGCAAATCTTTCGGTCGTTTTTTAACCCACTTCCCGTGATCCAATCGAGCTGACATTTTCCACACAGACTCGTTGTGACAGACAATTAATGTTCGTGAAAAAAAAATTCAAAAATGTTACACTTCTTAGGCAAAAAAATGTATTTTACATTTATTCAAATAGAACTCATTCATGGCTTTGGCTGAACGTCACAGTATAGGAGCCCAGAGCGTAACCCCTCCACAGGCCGTGGCAGAGTAGCGCAGTTGGTAGCGCCCTCGCTTCCCATGCCAAAGGTCGCGGGATCGATCCCTGCGTCCTCCACAGTCGAATATATTTTAAATCCTTTATATTAAGTTCGCTTGCTTGCTTAGGACCGTGCAAATCTTTCGCTCGTTTTTTAACCCACTTCCCGTGATCCAATCGAGCTGACATTTTCCACACAGACTCGTTGTGTGTGACAATTAATTTTCGTGAAATTTTTTTTCCAAAATTTTACACTGTTTAGGGAAAACAAATTAAAATTTTTATTACCAATTGCTTAATACTGGCAGACAATCATCTGACCCATAGATTGCAGCCATCTCAAGCCAGAGGACGAGATGACTCTAGCCGCCACGCATATAAAGGATTTAGAGTGAAAAACTTTGTTTTTACGGGTTTACTTGTTAAGCACTGCACAGTCACCAGCGTGGGGGAAGTCTGGTCAAAAACCGACGAGGTGTAGATATGACGTCATTGGGCTGGAAATTTTGGATGGAGAAAGGAGGGAAGGTGCGTGGTAGTGGAGCCACCAGTAGAATGGAAATGAATCATGAATCATGCAGCCTGTGGGTTGAGCCGCGTTATCCAGAATTAACTAAACAGCCTACTCATCAACAACAGTGCGGCTTTAAAATGGAAGATATATAAAAGGGGACGTTTCAGGCAACGGACTTTCAACATGCCCATGAAACGTCACTGATTATGTTTCTTAAGGACTCAGGGTTGTTGAAGAATGTGTTGAGTCTTTGTTGTTGTAAATGTTCTCACGCACCATGCAGCAGCATTACCAACAGAATTACTCTGGGAATTTTTCCTTTACGGAAGTAATATTTTAATACGAATTTCAACAATGGACCCATTTTTGCCTACTTCTGCTACCGTCAATAGCGATTACATTCAGTGACATCTGAACCAGCCCCCCCACATCTTCACTAACCCACACTGACCAGCGTGGTGAAGTATGGTCAAACAACCCCCACGACTGACACGCCATAGCTGGCTGGACCCTTTATCCCACAGTAGATTGACAATGAGCAGTACATTTTTTTTTAAATGTGAACGATGACTATCGTACGTGTTAAAATAGTTTTATGAATACGAGTATGTTATCTTAAATAACTATGCTTTAAAAATATTCTAGATTCCGTTTGCATTACTATTCTATTTTGTCTAAACACGAGAATTGCTGTTATGCTTGCTATGAGATGTGTTTTTGTTTTTGCAGTCGGGGTAAGTTTACTCTTCTTGTTGATGTTTTCGGGCTCATGAATGGAATTTCGAAAAGACAGATAAACTCTGCGTTATCTCCAAAAGTCTAAAACTCCACAGTTCAAGCGTTCCTAGACCATTAAATCATGTGATGCAATGAACCGTGTTTACCATTACAAGCTTGCTTTATCATGTTACTTTATTGAAAATGCAAAGCAATGTTATAATCATAATAAATAACCAGCAGCTATGTTCAACCCACTGCTGGATGAAGCCCTCCTCAAGTATGTACACCATGTGCAGCTGTTTTATCCCTCCACTGTTGGATGAGTGCCTCCCGACGCCGTTGTGCTGGTAGTGGGGGTTGTCTGACCATACTTCACCAATATGGTCAGTCCGGGCTGGTGTAAGGTAAGAAGGCTATCGACACCATTGGAACCTCATTTGCCAGTAAAAAAATATGATAATTGGTTTATTACCCTTTTATCTGGCAACAAAACTGACACCTTTTTTTTACAAGGAGTCATATTTGCATAGACCACAATACCTGCAGTCATAATGCAAACAAAAAACATAACTCTGATAATGTATGCACTGTCCTTAAAGTTGATTCATCAACTTTAAGGACATTGCATACATTATCAGAGTTATGTTTTTGTTTGCATTATGACTGCCAGGTATTGTGGTCTATGCAAACATGACTCCTTGCAAAAAAGGTGTCAGTTTTGTTGCCAGATAAAAGGGTAAAAAACAAATTATCAAGGCTTTCGATGTGAGCACATATCGCGTGACAACAACATTGGATGTTGCTGTACTTCCCACTCGCTGCTGCCATTGAAGCTCTGCCAGCAGTCTACAAGGGTTTTGTCATGCATGCTTTTCCACCACACAAGGAATATCTACGCTGAGACCCTGCTTAGCTTTTGAGCTCTGACAGGGAAAGTTCGGGTGCATTCAGGGTGATTCGGTTCATAGGGGTCCGAATTGCATTGACGGTAGTTTAGAGTGTTGGGAAAGTCTCCGATTCCGGTTGCGAAACGCATCTGAAATGGGGTTATTTTCCACTGGAATTAAACCGAGAATTTAATTAAATTCGCAGAAATGTTATGACGAACTGTGTGTCAATATTGTTCCGATTAGTTTTTTTTCTTGAAAGCGGGGACAATTCCAGCAAACAAAACGGCATCTATTTTGACACAATCGGGCACCGAGGATGCTGCTGATGGGATAAACATGTTAAGCCATCCCGAGTTTCAAGGTTTTCTTTGAATGATAGCCCTGCTACCATTGCGATATTTTGCCTGACTGAATTAAACCAGTTTCGCTTCGTGGTAGAGGCTACCAGGGATGAACCCGGATAAACCCCACCACGTATACACACCAGCGCGGAAGGTCAGAAACAAAACCTCGGAAAATGGATTAAGCTCGTACCCCCTTGTCTGTAACACCTGGTATTACCCGGATAGTATCACATCCACGTGCTCTAACATGCAGGCCCAACCGTACAGTGGATAGATCATGGCTGATGATGTATCTCATCATCACAATGCTGTCTCTAACTCACTAAAGTTCCTTAAATATAAAGAACTATTTTTTGGCAAAGCACTTTTACTGAAAACATCAACGTCACCAGCCATGTGCTATCAACTGCTAGATGAACCCCTCCACACACCGAGGGTAACTCTCACGATATTTTACTTTACCATACTCAATATTAATTCCACCATAAAAGAAGATTCTGGAAACCCGGATTACATAACCGGCCCAACGAAAACGAAACACACTGTAAACTCGCTTCCAACACGGGGACCTTCATAAAGCCACACTTTCCAACGTTGGTAGCAAACAAAAAAAAACCCCGTGCGTTATTATTCACACAGCAGATCTTTCACTTGGATTATTTTAGAAACCTATCAGACAAGAAAAATCCCACCACTTGACCGAGGGAGAGAGGGGGAGGAAGTTGGGGGCGTGGCCTCTGCCCGCCCGCCCCGCCCCCAGTCCGTGCTGGGCCACAAAACCGACGACCGCGCTTCCAACACCGCCCACAGCCGCAGTCTCACCGCTCACCTCCATCGACACACCAACAACCTGCCAAGCTACTTCGCTCGCACGCAACCATGGTGGCCGACGGAACTCACGCAGGGATCTTCGCCGCCGACAGGTTACAACAACAGCAACAGGGCGCGGGGTCGCCTCCCAATTCTCCTTCGCCCCGCGACAACGACACGGCAACAGCACCCGCCATTGACGAGGCCTGCGGCGCGCCGCCACCCACGACGCCTGCCACCTCCGCCGACTCCGTCTCGCATTCCGCGGCGGCCATTCAGGCAACGCGGAGTGGCGGAGCGAGGCGCTTCGACGTCGACCGGCTGGCCGTGGAGACCGCGGATTTCATCTCGGACTACATGGCCCATCTAACACCGACGGAACAGCCGCCCCACCACCAGCAGCAGCAGCAACTTTCTGCCGCTTCAAAGCTTCTCAAAAGTATGGGAGACTCGCTCCTGGAGCAACACCGCGCCGCCATCTCGGGCATGGTGAGCCGCGTGGAGGCCCAGACGGACTCCGAGGAGCTGCGCGGCTCGGCGCTCGGCGTCGCCCGGGAGATGTTCTCCGACGGGCACATGAACTGGGGCCGCGTGGTCGCGCTGGTGGTGTTCTGCGCGCTGCTCGTCAAGAGGCTGAAAGCCAGCGGGCGGCTGAGCGACGCCGAGGCGAGGGCCGTGGCGGACGAGGTGGCCGCCTTCCTGGTGTCCTCGCGGAGGGCTTGGTTCGTGCAGCAGGGAGGCTGGGTGAGCCACGCACTTGGTCGAGACACGACGCGGTCGGCGGTGGAGATGTGCGACTTGGTTGTGATTGATTGGTGATGGATACTGATCGTTGGTGATGGTGGTGGAGAAGGTGATATGCGACGTGGTTGTGATTGATTGGTGGTGGACACTGATCGTAGTAGTGGTGGTGATGGTGGTGGTGAAGGTGATGGTGTGATGTGCGACTTCGTTGTGATTGATTGGTGGTGGACACTGATCGTAGTGGTGGTGGAGATGGTAGAAATTGTGATTTTCGTGGCGATTAAGACGGTGATGTGTTCAGACGGGTTTTTTTTACAACGCGAGACGGAAGGGCAATTTATTTGGGTTTCTATTTGAGTTTTCCAAGTTGCTGAAAAATGTCGGCGGCGACACCTTGACGCTTCTGTAGAGTGGTGAGCGACTCCAGGGGCAGCTTGTGTGTTTTGTAAATCGGGAGAGACACGTATCCTCTCTGACAGCATTCGCCCTGTTTTCATACCATCTGCATTACCATCTGCATATTTTCGCTCCATTGCCTATCGGCTCTTCAGCAGCGTCCATGTTTTCGAGACGAATTTGTTTAAAGCAGTCCAATGTGTAAAAACAAATTCTGTACCGATTTCTGCAGTCAGTTTCAATAGCAAAGTGTAGCAGCCCTTTAAACAGCTGCGGGTTTGAGTTTACGAGGAGCAGAGACCTGCAGAAGTAGTCGCCTTTACTGCATAAGACCCAGAGAGACGTGGCGTTTTTCAACGTTAATAATTAACATTACCATAATTGTACAACGGGTTTTATTATCCAAATTAGTCATCGCATTCAAAATGTATTTATTAGAGAAACGACGCATTGACCACGTGTCTAATTATCCACGTCCTAAATTGGGTACTTAAAATTGTCGGTAATTTCTGCATCCACTTGATGATAATCTTGGGCTTGTAAAACAGCACTTCATATTTCAGACGGTACACATTCACTTTTGAGTCTCATAATTGCCTGCTTTATAACCTGGATTAAGTCTCCGAGTCTCAACTCATTTGCACGAGGTTCTTGCTTTTTAAGAGTTATATGGTCATTCTCTGAGTCGTAAGGGGGCCCATTGTGACAAAAATAGACTACCTTGGTTCTTACTCGGTTCAACAACAAAGGATCTTTATTTGCACTGTAACGTGAGCGATAGCTGGGACACTGAACAATGGAAATATTCGTGCAGGGGGGTAGCTGCCGTTTTCTAGACTTTACAGCGGGGGATTTTTCTTACCTGAGAAAAATTTCAACACGAATCTTGCCAACAATCAAGCAAGCGAGCGAGCCACGCGTTATCTCTCAACTCTTAAGGGGGGGCTGGGGAGGCATTTGCCTCACCAACGGAAGACTGCGAAGCAAAACGTGGAAATCAGAAACCCCTAGGAAAATGTGACTGTCATGTTTCGTGGACCCCCCTCAACAACCATTTCTGGGAACTCAAAACCACTGAGCAAATAAGGTGCGGCCCCTGGTGTGTGTGTGTACGTGTGTGGGCAAAAATGCTGTGATGTCAAACGAAACAGTGCAAATGCCTCCTTTATAGAGGCGTAAATTGTGGAACTAAAACTTCCGCCGCGGTAGCTTTTTTTTAGGGCTTTCAAACTGAGTATTTGTTGGTCTCTGTGAGCCTCGTACGGATCTACAGCGCCGTTTTATCAATCCACTGCTGGATGAGAGCCGCCACATTCATACTTTGCCACGCCTGGCCAGTGCGAATTGGTAAAAGCAGGGAGTCGAGATGTGGACGCATACAAGTACAATAATTGGTCTTTTTGTGCTGCATACCCCACGCAGCCCATGTATTACAAACAAGCTTGCAAACAATGCCAATGTCCAGCTGCTTGGCTTTGAGGTCTAACAAGATCAGGTGCATTCCGCGATTTGGTTATGGCTTGTGCGGGCCTCGTCCTCTTTAACATTTAAATACAATCTCTCTACGAAACTGTAAACATTTCCTTATTTAATATATGAATATTTTTTTATTGGACATGGCAAGGCCAACTGAGCTATATAGCTCTTTTTCTGAAGAGACTGAGCCACATGTGATAGCCCATTGAAGTGGCTTATGTGGACATTTGTGGAGGGAAAAACCGGAGGGGGACAGGTGTTGGCAGAGGTCGCAATCGGATACCCAGCTACCCGTACCCGGCTACCCGTACCCAGCCGGGTACGGGTACCCGTTTGCAACCCTGGTGCGGCCGGGTACGGGTAGGCCGTGAGTCACTGGTGAGTCACCGTTTGTCACTCATTTCCCAACGTCTTGTCTCTTCTCACAATTCAAGTTCCTAGAATCAACCCACCAGCGACTGCAACATGGCTTCATCCCAGAGGTCGCAATCGGGTACCCGATACCCGTACCCTACCCGATACCCGGCTACCCGTACCCGGCTGGGTACGGGTAGCCGTTTGCGACCCTGGTGCGGCCGGGTACGGGTAAGGAATCAAAACCCGTTTGCGACCTCTGGGTGTTGGGGTCGGGATCGAACCCACGACCTCCTGTATACCAGGCGAGGTAGTTAACATCTCCTCGCCATCGTGGCGTGTTGGTGGACACTGCTTTGTATTTTTCTCAACAGCGGAGGCAGACCGCTGCGCTCCCTGTGCAGCAACACGCTCGCAGTCATCCCCAGCTACCCGCCGGCAGTTGCGTAAACAGAACTGTTGTCCATTGGACTCGGATTGCGTGCGCACATGCAAAACGAGATATGGACTTTAGCATTTTAAAGAGCCGCTGACGCCCCGGAATTAGATTGCCACTCGCTGTGGCCTTCATTCATTGGCTTTCGTTCGCAATGCGAGAGAGTAACAAAACCTTATTGCTGGAAAAGTTCAGCTCTGCTGACGACGACTGCATTGTTTGAAAATAAAGGTTTTGATGGGTAGTGGCTCGGACCAAACATCTCACAGCTGCTCCAGGCACTTCACTGCTCAGCCTTATGGGATGGCCACAGTTGAGTTGGTCTGAACAATACTACAGGCACATGTTGGGCCCTTTTTACATTGAGCTGGTGATCTAGATAGGGCTGAGAGCATTGAAAGTACTCGCAATGTCGTCACGACACGCATGCAAGACATGGGAGACGTGCCTTCCTGCTGTTTGTTAGCAGTATACCTTTGCATGTTGTTGTGGCGAGCTATTGGGCCCATTCCCATCTGGCTGGGGCACTGGTGGGAGACAGAATTGGGGTTTTTTGTTTCGTCAATTGTAAGGGGAATGTTTGTGACGTGGCAGGAAAGATTTATTTTTCCAAATGTGTGGGTGCGTAAAGCCCGCTATTGATCATGAGCTCCTCCACCCCGCCCCCACACCCGCCTCTCTGCAGCTTCCTCTTCTGGCTTTCCGCCACCACGCCTCCACCACAACCACCCCCTCCCTCACGGATCTTTGTATAAAACATGAAAGAGCTGTGTTTTTGTAATCTCGCGTGTTTGCGTCCATACGTGCATGTGCGCATAAGGCCAGTGGACAAAGCCCCGTCACACATTTAAGTCTGAATCGTAGTGTGCTTGGCGTGGGCCCTGGTGTAAGAAATGAAATGTGACTGGCCCCCTCTGCCAATTCCCCCACGAGTGTGTGTTTTTCCTGTTATGCTGTATGGCCCTTGCATTATTTTTTTGGTGGGCCAACATTTTGCTCCAAGACCTGCATTAAGTTTGTGAAAACATCATTGGAGAGAAAATTTCCCCTCTCTTTGTAACTCGGCAGCTGGGCCCCTCTGGCTCTTGAGCGCCCAGTTGCACCGCCTGTACATTCGATAGCTATGCCACCGCTGTTTTCAGGATCGATGCTGTGTGTGTGTACATGCACGAACTGTACTGACGTGGATTGCGCTTGTGTTCCTCCGGTGCAGGATGGGTTCGTGCGGGAGTTTGAGCGGGAGACGCCCGACAGCATGCTCAAAAACACGCTGATGGCCGTCGCGGGGTTCGGAGCCATGACGGCTCTGGCCGCGTTGGGCGTTCGCAAGATCCTCAGCGGTTTCTGCTGAACCTTCCAAGTGGCACACGAGGCCCCAATCTTATCTGGCTCCCGCGCACGGTGTGCTCCAGCCTCGTCACCTCCAGCTGAGCTAAACGAAGCACCACTACCACAACCGCGGAAAAACATCGAGACTCTGAACAGACGTGGCACGCATCACCCACCCCTGCAACGTTAAATTGTGGTGCTCAACGTTTCCATGGCGGTAGAATTTTGGCAAAGATGCAGCTGTAAATACATTTTTTTTTTACATTCTGATTTTCGCTGTTCGTTCGTTTCCGTTTTGCTAAACCTGCCGCATGGGAGCGTTGGCGACTGGGATGCATGGTGCCAAATCGTTGGTTGCATTCCGTGGGGCCTGTCATGCTTTGTTAATATTTTAAACCTCTGTGTGAGCAAGGTGTTTGCGTCTTCCTACCGAGAAAAACCCGAGAGTCGAATGGAAATTGACGCACAGGCTCTTGTTGGATGGCAACTATTTGCTTTCAAAGAGTCGTTAAATTCGTTTGAATCTGGCTCGATGAGGCAGCATTGTAAGTGTTGGTAAAATTGAGCATTTCAGAAGCACTTATAATTTTAATTATTATTTTCTTAAAATAAAATTTCAGAAAAGATAAAAGATTAGAAACGTGTTAATGTGTGTTATATTGCTACCTCAAACACGGCGAGGAATTGAATTACTCTTGCCTTCGTGGCAGTGTTTTGGCCAGAAACAGAATAATCCGTTCTGATTTGGTCTTTACGCAACTCAAGGAAGCTAGAGTTGCTTTTGGCAGCGGGCAGCAATAGCCGCAGCAGCCCCTTGCATGAAAGTTGCAGGGTAGGAAAGCCTCAACTTGCAACACAAAAGGTTTAACTTTTTTTTGGTCATATGATGTAATATCAGGACTGTGTGGGTGCACCGATTGTACCCTTTTATGAGTACAGGCCAAGAAGGTAGACCGAGGAGAGGGCTCCGAAACCCATCAGGAGCCTCCTCCCTGTGCGTGTCCAGGTGAACACGATAGGCAGCTTGGATGGGTGGGGGGGGGCCCTATGGTGCACGGCAGTCTGATTTTAAAGCCGCATTTAGAAACGACAAGCCTGATTTAAGCATGCTGTTAATTGGCAGTGGCCTACCCCAAAAAGTAGCCTTGCAACGTGTGCGACTAAAAAACAAATTTTAGAGTTGCGATGTAGCTGGCCCGGTGGGGGGAGGGGGGGGTAGGTTCCTGATTGAAAACAGAAAACCCAACCCCCCCTGTTTAAAATGGACTCTGGGTAGCCTTTACCCATTGCCCTGTCCTGGATTAGATTTTAGTGTACCCTTACCATGCAATAATAATTACTTGGTTCAGGATAGATCTTGGATATTTTCCTAAGGCAACTCAACGGTGTGATTGCCATGGGGGGAGGGGGCGGCGGTAAGAGGTGGCAGTTCTACCTGGGTGGATTTTTGCTTACCAGGGATTATCGAGAGAAATTTCCTTGCTGCCCACGTGTGTGTCATCTGGAGCGGCTGTTACTGAAGCACATTTTGTTTTAGTTTATTTTAATCTGGCTTTTGAACGATGTGACGGTGGTGTATGACATGTGTGTGTGTGCATGGGCGAGTGAGTGTATGTATGTATGAGTGTGAGACCACACTGGGGCTTTGTGCTCACTCATAATCCCTAATCCACTGGCACGTTTGTGCCAAGCCAGCGTAGGGTCCTTCACAGTATGGGTGTTTTTTTTCCCACTGCCTATGCCGCAACCAAACTGAAACGCAGACCCTCGCAAAATCCAAGTCTTGGCTCGGGGGGCCAAGCAGGGCCAGGATTAGTTGCATCCTCCTGCAAATGCGCCTTGGTCACTGCAGGACGCGGGCACCATCGTGGCAACACACCGCTGTTACCGGTGTGCAGTTCGAGCCGGCCGTAGCGGTGGACGGCGGCGGCACAGCTCAGAGTTCTGCAGTGAGGAGAGAAAACAACCTGACGTCTCCTGAGCCGCGGCCACGGCTTGTTCAGCCCTGGGCGCGGCTCTGTTTTTGCAAGTGGGGAAAAAAAAAAAGAGGCATTTGGGTGACACTGTGGAGGGGGGGGGGGTGCCTGTGAAGGCACTGGGGTGGTAGGCACCCCCCCCCCCAGGGCCATTGAGCTGCTCAGATTATTGCTTGTGCATGCTCCACATTCTTCAGACCTTATTGGTGCTTTCAGTTCCCGCTCCGCCTCTCAAAACAACAATAAAAGAGTATCTTGTTTATTTGCCCGACACGTGTTTTTTTATTCTGCCAGTGCTGATTCGATCGTAGCTGAAGTGGAATTGATGCCAAAAAAGGCGTTCAGTTTATGTATGCGTTTTTTAGATTGTGTGGCTTGTTTATCGTAATCGCCAGCTTTGGTCAATCCACTGCTGAATGAGGACCTCCCCATGCTACAGGTTGTGGTAGGTTATCGAGCCTCGATAGTACTTGCAGGAATGTCCACGATAACAAGTGTTATCGGCTGTGTGCTTATATCACCAGTGCAGCAAAATCCGTTATGCTGTACTTAAATGGTCCCACGTCTAAACTCCCCACCAAAACCAACCAACAACCTTCCACAACTCAAAAATGTGTATTTTACTATATAAGGCCCACTGAGTTATATAGCACTTTTTTTAGAAGCGACCTGTCCACAGATGATATCCCAACGAAGTGGCTTGTCACTTGGATATTTCTTGCAGCCAAATACTCTAAAACGCCTGTTGATTCTAAATATGGAGGGGAAAACCGGAGGACCTGGAGAAAAAATTCCATGTCGCCACGGGTGGAGACACATGCAAACTCCAAATATACAGGTGTCGGGATCGAACCCATGACCTGCATACGAGGGAAGGTAGGGAAGCTCTCATCCAGCAGCAGATAATACAAAAGGGATCATACTCTTAGGTTTTTTTTGGTAAAGTCACGTAGGTAAAAAATAAAATTAATAAATGTAATAATAGAAATAAAATAAAAAATGTATTACTTTTATTAATTATATAAATGATTAGTTGCGGTCACGAAAGCTTCAAATCTATAATTAATACAAAAGGGACTGTGTACTCCTGCGCATTATTAAAGGAGCACACAGCGAGTGTACATCGTCGGCTGCAGCAGCAGCAGCATCAACAGGGTCGGTGCCCTTTGCACCACGGCCTGTAAACAAGTGATGAAACTGCGTGGGCTTGGGAGGATCTTTTACCCCACCCCCCCCGTCTCTCCGCTGAGCCGAGGGCGACTAGAAGTCACGTAGTGCACGCGCAGGAGCTGTGGTGTCGGTGTCATTAGTGCAGGACGATTAGTGCATCGGTGTACTTATTGCACGCGCCACGTCCCTTGCGCACGGTACTGGATGAGGCCGCCGAGATCCATGAACGGGGGATTTCGCAACGCTCTGCAGAGACGTAGTTGGGACTGTTGCCAATTTGTAATTCCTTTCGTCATCACCATCATCACTGCTGGATACCCCCCCCCCCCACCAAAACTGCTGCTGCCCCGTGTGTTGCAAGTCTGCACGCGGTGGTGAGCTGGTATTATACTTGTGTAGCCCACCGACAAACATGAGACCTCTGAATTTAAAAAAAATAACCAAGAGCAAGGTTTTCATGGTGATGAAGGCTGCCACGGTGGCAATATATTGACTACCTTGCCCAGTATACAGGAGGTCATAGGTTCGAACCCTGACACCTGTATATTTGGCGTTTGCATGTCTCCCCGTGGTTGTGTGGACTTTTCTCAGGGTCCTCCGGTTTTTTCCTCCACTTTTAGAAACATGCAAATTTTAAATTTCCACATGATGATAAGCTCCTTTGTTGAGCTTCCATTTGTGACCAGGTCGCTTCTGCAAAAGAGCTACCTAGCTCGGTGGGCCTTGCCTGGTAAAATAAAACATTGATTCTAGTTGACTGACAATTTTTTTATTCTCAGAGCTGCAATTTAGTAAAATTAAATGCAGAACCAAATGTAATGAGACTTTTGGAGACCATCAACTCCATTATATTTGAGAACCCAGTTTATTCACAGGTGGATGCCAGGATTTGAACCCAGTGTCTCAGCAGTGTCAGCTCAATACTCTGACCTATGAGCCGCTCATCCACAGAGGGTGGGGGGGGGGGTATTGTAAATCTGCAACTCAGGAATGATCAAACAGTACGCCTCGACGACATACATCAGATAACTGCAAACACCTTAAAAGTTGAAATGTCAACAAATGAGTAACAGGGCTGTGCTTTCCTCCACGTTTGCTCAGCTCCAAACTGGCAGTAGTTATACATTCGACGTTTTCATGGCAGGGGCCAGTACATCCGTAGGATCATTACTTTTCAGCAAACGTGAGTAAGCAAACCGCGGGGACCAGCAGCCTGCTGAGAGTCGAATAACTAAATATAGCCGGGACGGTGAGTCGATCGAATCTCGACTATTCGCATAAACATTGACAGCCAACGACATCTGTTGTGGTCGGTCACGTGGGGCCCCTTTTAGAATTACGGCAGCAGCCCCTAAATATGCGATCCTCAGCAGCGTGGCACGGCTTACAATGTCCACGTTGCCACCGAGCACCGACCCATCATCTCCTGCCCAGCGGCACGCATGGGAAAGGAGGGTTTAGACTTGCCCCCCCCCGCCGACCCACCAACGACCCCCACAACTATTTTTGTGTAATCCAATCAGTCCATTTAGAAATCCATTATTTGCATAGCCGGGGCAGGCCCAGAGCTGGAGTCGAACTGCAAACTGGATGGTTCAGTGGGGACTTCGCCCCAGGACTATGACAATAGCCGTGCGGTATTTGTCGGCCTGTCTCAACACTCAGATCACAGCCACTCCCTTCTGTTGCTATGGCCTCCAGGCTGTCTGGGGGCAGGCTGTCTTTACACGGAGACACTCAGCTGCACTTTGTTTACACAAAACACAGGGTGTGTACCTTACTCCAAGGACGCACACACGGTGATGATGCACAACACCATGTTTACGTGTCTACACACGGCCCCCTACGGTCATTCCGCACTGCCTATTTTGAAGGAGATTTGCCGGGCTGGGTCGTGGCGGTTATCGGGCCATAGTTCACCACGCCGGTCGGTGCCACTTAGTGAAAGCAGAGGGGACCCTCGAAGTATAGTCCAACTCTAGATGTTGCTGCATTGCCCTCTGATGCCGCCCACAACGTAGCCCCTGCAGTAGCCCCCAGCACCCTGTTTTCTGCATGGTGGTTGCCCATCCAGGCACTACTCAGGCACAATTGCCCGCTTAAGCTTCTGAGATCTGGTTTGCAGTCTGATGGTTATAAGTTCAAATCTCTTGTCAGGGTCTAATTCAGCCGTTCCGATCTCCTGCAATAAATTGAGTCACCGCCCTGTGGCCGAAAAACCAAGAGTGGCGGTCCAATGCGTAGACCGGCTCCCACCATATCAATGTGGAGTTTACGACAAAGGGCTCCGGACCATAAACAGACCCCCCCCGCCACGCTCGTTCTGTGTGGGGAAAACACAGCCTTCTATTTTCTGACATTCGAAGAAAACAATTACATGAGTCTCCGCGTTGGGCGGCTGTCGTTGACTCCAAACGAAAAACTCCATCGCCCACTTCTCCATGAGCCTTGTGACTTGCGGGCGCCTTGTGACTTGCGGGCGCCTTGCCCGCTCCGCTTGTCATTGCGTTGCACCGTCCGGGCGCGCGCTATTACACGTCCATCCGATTGGTCAATCAATGGATGAAGTCGTTGAACTGGCCGCAAACTGTCGTCAACAACACGTTGCTCTGCGGTCGGTGACGCAGGGCCCCTTTAACAAAGCTGGCCGTCCACCGCGATGAAGGTGGGAAACCCTTCGCCGCCCCCCCCCCCCCTGGCTATTGGTGCACCGTCTGCACCCTCAACCAACTCCAACCTCATCATGAAACTTCCTACACCCTCCACGACGCAACCCCCCCAGTCCCTCGTGAAACGTCTCGGGATGTTGTTGCAAATTCTTCTCAGGTTCGGGGGGAGGGGGGAGTGGGGGAGATTTCCTTTCGTCCAGCAGTAGACAGTCCACGGCCGACGACTGATGCATTGCAAGGTGGGGGGGGGGGATATGCCGAGTGGGCGATGGGAGACGCGCATTTTGAGTATTTATCGCTGCATGCACAGAGCCGGAATGGTCGCCCGTGTGCAAAAAAGAAGCTGCTGCCACCACCACCCACGAACCAAAACAGCCACCCCAAGAAGAGGAAGGGGCCCACTTCCGCATCTCGTAGCGACGGGGGGGGGGGGGGGGGCGAGCCAGCAGCGGCCGTTACCGCGCCGTGTTGGGGCACCTTTGGCCTCTGGGACAACCGAAGGAGAAGAGATTCCCATTGGCTACCGCCGATGCACACAAAGACAAAAAGATTCCCCCGTGTAGCCTACACGGGCTGTCGGGGCAAGTGCTGTTCGCGAGCACCTGCGAAGGTCCGGCGCGGCATGGTTCAGATAATCGTCACTGGTGTTGGCCGTGAGCGGGAATCAAACTCGGGCAATGCACTATCCACTGCGCCACCGCTCTCCCAATACAGGTGTGAGGAAACCCGTGCACAACAGGGGAGAGAGAGAGTACGTACAAACTCGACACAAATAAAGTGACCCTAGTTGAGAATCAAACCCAAGCCCCTTCTTCTTGCCACTGCGCTGCCGCCACGACCACCCAGCCGCCCTGTGTCAAGCACACACGCAAAGAGCACGGCCCCTTTCACATCGAACAAAGACGGTCACTGCATCGTGCGCTTTCAGATGCGCTTCTGCGGCCTTCTGGAACGCTCTTTCCTCCGATATGTCGGTTGAAGACTCGTTTCTTTAGAACAGCTTTTTGCGTTTAGTTTGTTGTCCTTTCGCCGCACCTTCAATTAGCACGGTTGGCTACGTACGGTGCAAAAGAAGTTCAACACGCATACATACACACATTCGTATTCATTCATATCCTGCGTCCGTTCAGGGAACCTGCCCGTGTCAGCCATCCTGAATGCGCGACACACGCCGTGTGACGGTGCGTTGCCTGCCCTTGTCTGCAGCTACACGACGGTGCCAGCGGACGGGGCAGTAGAGGGGGTGTGGTGAAGGGCAGCAGCAGGAGCGAGCAGCGAGCAGGGCAGCGGACGGCAGGGCACGGTGGCACCTCAACCCCGCACGGTGCCTTCCCACGAGTCTCACCCCGGTGACACGATGTGTTTGAGGGGAGCCCGCAGATTGCAGGAGTGCAGTGATGTCCGGGTGAGTTGTGAGCTTAGGTGGTGGTGGCGGTGAGTGTTGTCGGTGGTGAATGAGGGTAAGTGAGAGTGCGTGCGAGCGAGTGAGTGAGGGTGGTGAGTTGTGGCAGGGTGAGTGAGGGGGAATGGTGTGCGTGGGAGGTGATGGTGAACGGTAGGAAATGTAGGTCGTGATTATTGGTGATGAGCGGTGCTGAAGGGGGAGGGGGTGGGGGGTGAGCGTGGGTGAGTGATGCTGAATGTTTGAGTTTGCGTGTTGGGGGGTGTTGTGGGGGGTGAGGGGTTGGTTTTTGGTTTTTCGGAGAAATGTCTTTTCGGCGAAATGGGCTGACCATGCCGGTCACATGACCCCGGCCACATTCCACTGAGGCAATCGATTTCCTGTGAGTAACTCTTGGCATCGCGCCGACCAATCGGCAGCGACGAGCGCCGCGGCGGCTCCGGGGGCCTGTGGTCTGGGGCCCAAACGGCGCAGGCGGCAGAGGGGAAGCAGTCGCCGTCGCGACCGTCACGCAGACAGCAGCAGCAGCAGCCGTGGCGGAAATTCCCGACAATCGTACGCAGAGGTGGAGTGGGAGGGTGGGGGGGGGCGGCCCAACTGTGCAGTGGCCAAAGAAGCCCCCAACAACAAGAGTCGACCAACTGTGGCAGAGAGGGCTACGACGTGGCAGAGAGAGGTCAAGTTGTCACCGAGGGCCCACCTGGGGCAGTGGAGGTGTCCCAGACGTGGCGGCGAGCTCACAGACCTCCTGTGGCCCAGAGAGACTACATGCAGGCGGTGAAACGGCATCGCAACTCACCGGCTGGAGGGGGCCCAGTTGGGGGGGGGGTCGTGAGGAAACTGGGTCACGGAGGAGGGGGGTGAGGCGGCCCATTATTGAATTCATGCCTACCAAGGCCACGCCGATGCGGTCAGGTCATCGTACACCCGGACGATGCCAAGGCATGACGTGTTATCCCGAGCAGCTATGTGTGTGTGTGCGTTGAACTTCTTTTGCACCGTACGTAGCCAACCGTGCTAATCGGAGGTGCGGGGGAAGGAAAACAAACCATGTGCAAAAGCTGTTTAAAAAAAAAAATTCAATCTAGATTTAAAAGTGGCTTCCTAATATGGGAAAAGCGTTCCAGACGGCCGCAGGATCTGAAAGCGCGCGATGCAACAGTGGCATGCTACGTCTCCTCCGATGTGGTGTCCGCGTTGTGCCTGCCGCCGTGCATTGCTGCTGTTGTTGTTCGGCGTGACGATGTCCGACGTTTCGCTCCATGTGCCGCCGGGAGCTTCTTCAGGAGCGCGCCAAGCGTGAACGTCCGAGAAATCGGCAACGACCGTGGAAACTCCCGCGCGGTGCCCAACGGCAACGCAGGAGGCAGCCACAGAGAGAGGCTCGATTACGTCCACAATAGCGCGGTAGCCACTTTATTTAATTATTCATCCCACCAGTTTGCCCGGGGAAGGGCCTCACCGAGTCTCGAGAACCATTGGTCAGGAGGGTCACGCCGGGTTTGTGCAGTTGGGGAGGCGATGCCGCCGCTGCCACTGCTGCTGCGTGTGGTTCCAATTGAATGATTTGCATGTCGCTTTTCAGAATTGGGGATCTTTGACCAATGCTGTACTAGTTACACTGTGTCTGTGTGTGGGTTTTGGAGGGAACCGTAGAACCCAGAGGAAGCTCACGCAGAACAAAGGGGAGAACATACAAACTCTACGCAGACAGACGCCTGAGGTGGGAATCGAACCTAGGCTCTTCTTGCTGTGGGCCACAAGCATTACCAACGCAGTGCCACCCTGCCACCCCTACTACTGCTGGTGAACACGGCCTAAGATTTCCGTGGAGCATCCCGACCTTGAGTGACGGAGGCCCAGCCTTTACCGAGAATCCAACCGCAGCTCTCGATTCCAATTGGAAGCCTCGTTCCTGTGCCCTCTTATCGGACTCGGGCAAATAATGAATAATTCAGTGCGTGTGGTATTGGCGCTGCTGTTCTTATATCGCAGGGCGATCATCGCGAAGGGAGGCGCCGCTCTGCTTTGCAGGCGCAGGCTGCCCTAGTCTCACAGTACGGGGCGATGTCGCTGCCACGTGGTCCCAAAGTGAGTGCTTTTGCGGTGTCATTTGGTCAAATTTGGAGCGTGACGCCGGCCCGCGATGGCCTCCTACTCGTTTTGAACGACGACGCGGCGGCTCTTTTAATGTCCACGGTGAGTGAAGCGTATGGCGCGCAGACGGGAGTATTTTACGCTGAATAACCCAGCGGCAATTGCCAGGGCGGCCCGCGGGATTCGAACCGCGAACCTCTGCAAGCAAGCGGCAGATCCGCGACCGCCGGGCCGCCAAAACAACGGGGAATTTCATTTTTTTCGCCGTGAACTTTGGCGATGGTGCGCGGGAGGGCGTGGGAGCTGGAATCAAACTCGGGCCTCTCGCGGGAGAGGGAGGCTGTTGACATCCCCTCGCTTGGTGACTCAGGCGCCTGGTGCCACACGGTTTCGTTGCAATTATTGCGATCTCACACATTCCGCCCACGCCGCCATCTGGCAAAGGTTTAGATTATTTAATTTAAAGTGCCATGCGTTTCCGAGGGGAGATCGTAGATTCAGGCGTAAACAGAGGGCACAGCTCTGGTGCCATGAATGTCTTAAGCATGAGCATTGGCATCCCCATGCCCAAACCCGTCCCACCCCTCCCATTTTCGTCGGCTCGGAGCCTGGGCCCCACCAGCCTGCGAATCCTCTACGCAGTTGCACCGCCTGCACACTGCAGAGCTACGCCACTGACCATAGACTCACATCGAGACCTCCATAGACCCACCCAAGAGAGAGACCCATGCATCTGCAGAGGCCCGTGGACTCACACGCAGAGCCGTGTACGACTCTAGCATGGAGATCCGAAGAGGGTCGCGGAATGTGGTTGGCGTGGGTCCTGGTGCATGCCATGAAATTCCCCTCCCTGTCCCTTCCCCCCGCCCCCCTCCTCTTGTCAAATTTCTACCCCTTTCTCGATGTGGCTTGGCGCCTGGGCACCCTTCTCCAGGCCATGGGGCGCCGGTGCAGTTGCACCGCCTGCACACACACACCATGATAGGTGCGTCACTGCACGAGCGTGCCTGCTGTATGTATGTATCTTGAACTTCTTCCGCACCGTACGTAGCTAACCGTGTGGTGCAGCGCGAGCCGTTTTTACTCTCAACCGCGACAATCCCACGAATCTTCACCCCAGCATCAGCTGAGCTCGCTGCGTGTGCCAACGGCTCTCGCTGCCGCGCTCTCGGCCCCGAATCGGAGTGACGTTTGGGGTGCGAGGCAGGGGCTGGGAGCCCAGCTGAGAGCAGGGTAGATGGGGGCCACCACAACCCGCCCAGAGACCGCTCGGTTTGTGGTCTTGAGACCCCGTTAGAGACCAGTCTGTCTATAGAACCTGGAGACCTCGTTAGAGACCAGTCTGTCGATGATCTCAAGACCCCGTCAGTGACCAGTTTGTCTATGGTCTACAAACCCCATTAGGGACCGGTCCGTCAGCTGGATTGCAACAGCGAGTAGATGCAGGCAGCCACGGGTGGTTAGCTTTGCCCACGTGAAGCCAAGCCTGGACGTGTCGGTTGTACGCGCATCGGTGATGATGACGATGGCGATTATTTGTGCTTGCTCATGGTCCCGTAGAATGGTGCTGAAACAATGTAACCGCTGTTAATGCGTAACTGAAGGTCAGTCCACAGATCACTAATTTGCGGCTGACTTGCAGCTTATGCGCCACTGACAATGGGTAATTAAGCCAGTCCAAACAACACCGGCTAATAATATCTGCGCGCTCAAATAATGGAGGTTAAAGCCCCTGAGACGCCTCAGCCAGGACTGCGACAGGATGCAGGTAGGGGCTTGCCTGGGTATGCCACGTGGCGCACTCTGTGTGCGTGTGGGTGGGGGTGTGAATGGTGGACGGCACTTTCATATAGTGGGCCTGATGGAAAATAAGAATAGCTTCTACTCTTTCTGGCAATTAAACAGGAGGTGTTCAGATGTACGTACACCAAATCGATACCTTTTTCAAGGCATCAAGTCTGCATTAACCACACACACTTGTGGCAAAACATGCAAAGAAACATGCTCCGATAATATCTGCGTTGTCTTTGAAACTGACTCGCCTACACAAGAGACGGCAGCCTTCTTTATAGCCTTGTCTCACCACCGGTGTCAGACCAGAGAATGCCAAACGGCGGACAGCACAAGGGCAATGCCACGCGTATCAGAGCACTTGCAGCTCGACCTGCTGCTGGTTATTTGCGAAAAAGAGCTGCCTAGCTCATCGGATCCCTCCAGTCGATATCAAGATTCCAACTCTGATGTCGATGACCGCAGAGCTTTGTGCAGCTGTTGGCAGCGCGGGTTGACTGCCTGCTGCCTGCTGCTGCCTGCTGCTGCCTGCAGGCTGCTGTTGCTGCTGCCTGCAGGCTGCTGCTGCTGCCTGCAGGCTGCTGCTGCTACTGCTGCTGCTGCCTACAGCTGCTGCTGCTGCTGCAGGCTGCTGCTGCTGCCTGCAGGCTGCTGCTGCTGCCTGCAGGCTGCTGCTGCTGCCTGCACGCCGCTCGTCTGTGGCTCCGCCTCGGTGAGCGGAGGCACAGCGCGGAGACGCGTTCACAAAGTTCAAATAATTTTACCGTCAATGCGTGCGGTGGATAACAGCACGGCCAGAAACGTCTGCGAAGTCCGTTTTGAGTTTTCTTTTAGGTCTCCGTGCGCGTCAATGGATCTCTATGTAAACCTGTGGGTCTCTACGTTAGCCTATGGTTATTTGTGTGAGTCAGTGGGTCTCTACAATAGCCTATGGGTCTCTAGGTTACCCTTTGGGACTCGACGTGAGCCCATGTGTCTCTATGTAAACCAAGAGTTACACGTCTGAGACCATCAACCCACGACACCTGAGAGAACTCGGTTTGACCACAGGCCACGGCTGAAACCCGGGTCGGCGCCCGCGACCTCAGCGGTGGCAGCCTCCGAGCCCCGACCTCTAGAGCCGCCCAGCCGCTCGCAGCCGGCCGGGATGTCTCGGCTCGGTGCGTGCCGTCATCAGGTGACGATACATCACCACGCACACCGCTACCAGCAGGACCTCGCGACAGGAGGAGGGTGGGGGCGGCGGGGAGAATTCGTTTTTTCTTCTGAGCTGCATTCATTCATTAAAACGGCACAGTGCGAGTGAGTGACCTTGGGCCTCCTTGGGGCACCGTCCTCCATCGCCCCGGTCACCTGTTCAGTAATAATAATGAATCACATTTATAAAAAAGAGCCTTTGTACGAGGTGTACACACGGTGCTTTCCATCGCACTCGGTAAAGAAACGAAACGATCGCTGGCCCAAGGCGGAGGGAAAACGAAGTGGCATTGAGGAGCTGCAGCGGAGAGAGCCGACGCGTCCTGATGCCGCGTTTTAGAAGCCACGCTGGCGCTTCCTGCGAAATCGCGAGCGGCACCAGCCAGGGCACCTGGGCGCTCGCTGCACAGCCGGGGAGCAGCGCGGCAGCAGCAGCAGCAGCGGTGGCCACTGCCAGCCGGAGTGCGGAGGAGGAGGGGAGGAGGAGCCGCGTCTGGGGAAATGCGTGGCGGCCACCGGCCATCGAAGAGCAGAAAGCCTTCGGGATGATGGGCACACATTGGGAGGGGGGGGGAAGGGAGGTCAGTAAATCTGCGAGATACCTCGGCTGTCCACTTTTGAGAGCCGTATTGGGTCAGAAGGAGACTGAATGTTTTGACTCGGCTCTGAATTTTTCATCGACAGCCGCCGAGGGCAATGCGGCCGGCTTGTTGGCGAAGGATCGATGCCCAGGCGCAGACGGGCGCACGTCTGCGTGACGGGCGCGGCGACACGTGGGCAGTGTTTTTCGTGGCGTCGCTGCGGTAAATCCTTCGTGATTGTCGTCTCCTCTGAGATCACTGCCAAACCCCCTCTTTGATCGCCCGCCGTGTGCGTTTGATCTGCATGGCCGTGGCGCTCACCTGTGACAGCTGATCCTGTCTCCACACAAACCCCGCTCGTGTGCTTTGCCACGCACGCTCAGTCACGTTCAGACATTAAAATCTGTTGCCGAGTGACAAGGTGCGGCGGTTAGCCCAGCGACCCGAGTTCGATCCCAGGCCACGGCTGGCGTGCGTGGGGAGTGGGTATCGGAACCGGAGTCTGAGCCCCCCCTCCACCTTCCCCACCCCGCACTGACCTGCGTGGTGAAGTATGGCCCAACAACCCCCCACGACCGACATGGCATGAGGAAGCCTTCATCCGGCGATGATGATGATGGTGGTGTGGATGAGGTGGCGTCACTGTTGTCTGCAAATCATCAACGGCAAGCCGATGGGCACAGCTCCTTCATGAGTGGGACATTACAGACACATTCCAGAGTAGTGTGAGTGTGGCCATGAAACCCAAACTGTGAATCGTCGTATAGTCAACTCATAGAGGCACACAGACTCATTAGAGACCCATGGAGATACATTTACAGCAAGCCACAGACGTGTGATTGTGGCCATGCAAACCAAACTAAGGATCGTATCGTAATCCACTGTGGTCTACACTCCTTCCATGGAAGACGGCAAAACTCGTACTTATGCAATTTGAACTTATACTTCATCTATTTTACGTATTTATTTTTCGGTTTGAAGCTTCTTTCGTGACTGCAGGGATTCATCTTCTTGGTTCTTTCGGTAAAGTCACGTAGATATAAACATAATAATAATAAAATAATAAAAATAAAACAATAAAATTGTTTTATTGTTTTATTTTTATTATAAAATAATAAAACGTTGTAAACTTATTTTATTATGTTTTATTTTTATTATTTTATTATTTCCCTTCTACGTGACTTTACCGAACGAACCAAGAAGATTACGTCTTTATTTTTGTGATTTGCTCACCTTACCTATACTGTACTTTGCACTCCTATTGCGGTTGTTTGTGTATTGTTTATTGTTGGAACTTTCTGCCCCGTGCCCCGACTGGACATCTGTGAAAAAGAGCTTCATGGCTCATCGGATTTCTAAATAATATTCCGATTCCAAATAAAGATTCTGACACGAGCAGCACTCGAGTGAAAGGCCCTCTCGCCGTGGCCGGAATCTCATCGCCGCGGCCGCTTCTGCGATGACAGCGCGCGAGAAGAGCAATGGTGTTGTGCGTTGCGATTCGTCATGTGACTTTGGCAAAATCCCAACTCAAAGATGTGACCTCATAGCCCAGGCAAATATTTGTCTGGATTGAGTGGGGCATGGGTGGGGGGGGGCTCTTAGTCCCCCCCCCCCCCCGCCTTAACCACATTCTCACCAACCCCCCCGCCCATCCCTATCTCCCGACCACACAATCTCACACGCTAAATTCAGAACAGCCAAAGCACCGCAGAGGAGGAGGAGGAGCCTCCTGAAGGAGCCGTGAGGCTCGGTGAGGTCCCCCCCCCCCGCCTCCTTCCTTGGGTGAATCAAGAGGGCATTGTGATCGTTGATATTACGAACGATCGGAGGAGCGGTGGCGCAGTGATCGATTACCCGCTCACGGTCCACCAATCCCGGTGTCCCCAGGACGAGTGACAATAATCACTCGCTGCTGCCACTCATGATAACCGAGCTTCAGGTCGCCGGATTTAGAACACAGTGCGCTAACCGTTGCGCCACCGCTCCACTCCCATTGTTTTTTTAATATTCCCCAATAATTTGCTGTTTTGGGTGTGGGGGGCTGGGGGTTTATAATCTGGTGGGGGGGGGGGTCTTGACTGATTTGCCTGCTTACCCCTCCGCTCACTCCTCACCCTCCTCTACCTTCCCCCCCGCGGAGGAGTCCCAGACAATGGCACGCAGGAGGTCTCTGAGAAGAGGTCGGGAGGGAGACCTGACCCCCCCCCCCCCCCAGACGGGGACAGCAGCAGCTCGGCAGCGCGAGCCGCGCTTGCGCAACGACCTTTGTGCACAGCGGACAGCGGGGAGTCACGTGGCGTGTGGATTACGAGACGGGGGTGTCTGGGTGAGTCACGTGTGGATGTGCCGTGACCGATGTACACACTGACCCCGGAGGTTCCACTCCGGGTCACCGCTGCCACGCGGCGCGGTGGCGGGGGATGACTCAGAAGGAGGAGAGAGAATCGCAGTCGCCCCCCAACGTGGCGTTCACGACGCTAACAACAGCCCTGACACTGGGGAGCAATATCACTGGCCCTGACTCACAACCAGCTTCGCCCCGATACCAATTGTAGTGACACGTGCCTCGCCTCGAAGACTCATCTGTCAGGGCTAAGGGGCCGGCCATAAATGACGTCACGCACCTGGGGGGGGGGTCAGACATTTGTGACGATGTGTGACGAGGGGGGGGGGGGGTGAGAAAGGTGACGTCACATCAAAATGCGAAACTTTAAATAAATATAGACAACACGTTCTACTTAATTAAATAGACTTTTTAATAAATGTTTTCTCCTACAACATCAGAGTGCAGCGCCACATTAAATACGCATTACAATGACAATAGTTTAAAGCGATTTGAAGCATGTTTTAATTTTGGGGGGGGGGGGCAGAGCTTTGTGACGTCATATTTGAGGGGGGGTCTGACTTTTTGTGACGCCGTGTGACGAAGCGGGGGGGGGGGGGCAAAAAGCGTCTAAAATCGCGTGACGTCATTTATGGACGGCCCCTAACAGTCCCCCGTGACCTTTGTTGGGTTCGGTTTCGGCCTACGGTTGGGTATACAACAGGGGCTAGGGTTAGAGTTTAGGTGCAAAGTTTAGAGTTAAGAGTTAAGGCTCGAGCTCGGGTTTGGGCTCTAACTCGGGTAGGGGTTAGGACTCAGGGTTAGTTGGGGTAAGTGCTCGGGATTGGAAGTTGAGGCGATGTCTGGGGGTGAGAGAAAGCATTTGGGGATAAGGTTAGAGGCTAGACTTGGGTGAGAGGTTGGGGTTTGGGTTATGGCTGGCTCGGGTTTGAGGGCGATGTCTGGGGGTGAGAGAAATGATTTGGGGATAAAGTGAAGGGCTAGACTTGGGTTTGGGCTATAGCCGCGGGTTAGAGTCAGGATTGGGTATAGCGGGTTGGGGCGAGCGTGGGATTGGGGACTGTGGTGGTGGTGGCGGTGGGGGGGATGCTTGTGGTTGAGTAGGGGGCTCCAGGAATAAACATGTTTACGCCGCTTTCAAAACATCGGCTGGAGCCGTCAGTTGAGTCGGCGTGCACGTGGTCTGATAAGAGCGGAGCCATGCGGGTCTCGCATTCAGGGGATGGCGGTGGGGGAGGGGGCACGGGAAGGGGGGGGGCACAAACACAACAAAAGACAAAGGCTTTGACCCCCCCGTGTCGCCTTTAATGGAATGTTGGGGGAAGTGCGGTTAGCGAGCACCTAATGAAGGCCGGAACGGACCACGTTGGCTAGCACCACGCCTGGCCGCCTTTGTCTGCCCAGTGGCGATGTTTACACACCACACCAGGAACCCATTTGAGGCTGAGTCGACCTAGGAGAGGCCGGTTCAGATAATTCGTCGCTGGTGTTGGTCGTGAGCGGGAATCGAACCCGGGGTGCGTGGTTCGTAGTGCCGCTTCCCCACCGCTCCCCCAAAGACAAAGACACAACACTGACGCACATAGACGCTGTACAACAAAGACAAAGATCCCCCTTATAGCCTTAACAGACTCTCGGGGCAAGTGCTGTTAGCGAGCACCTATAAAGGCCGGAACGGCACACGAGGGGGTGGGTGGCCAGCACCACGTCCGGCCACCTTTGTCTCCCCAGTGGCGATGTTTACACATCGCACCAGGTACTCATTTGAGGCTGAGTCGACAAAGACACACACCGACACACACACACCGACACACACACACACCGACACACATACACACTGACACACACACCGACACACACTGACACACACACAGATAGACCGCAGACACCGCACGCACCGAGATACGACAAAACAACAGCCGCCGTTCGCCACAAAGTGGCGGTGACGTCCCCACGGCGCATGTGCCAGGTGCACCTTGAGGCCATCACGTGAAGTGTCGAAGGCTCGCTGGCAGGAATTCACGGGACAGACCCAGCAGGTGCCATGGGTTAGTGCACTTAGATTAGCGGCATCTGCACTATCTGTGCCCCCCCCACTGTTCCAGATACAACAAAGACAAAGATCCCCCGTTTAGTTTTTCGCAGACTGTTGGGGCAAGTGCTGTTAGCGAGTATCTATGAAGGCCGGCACGGCACACGAGAGGGTGGTTAGCTCCACGCCCGACCGTCTTTGTCTTCCCAGTGGCGATGTTTACACACCGCACCCGGTACTCATTTGAGGCTGAGTCGACCTAGGGGAGGCCCAGTACCGGTTCAGATAATCGTCACCGATGTTTAGCTGTGAGCGGGAATGCAACTCGTGTTGCTAACCACTGCGCCACCGCTCCCCCACACTCATTGACACAGAACGAGAGATTCACATTGAACTGGAAGCTCAAATAACCTAAAACATGTTTTTTTTATCTTACCAGGTAAGGCCCACAGGGCTACGTAGCTCTGGTTTCAGAAGCGAGCTGGCCACAATGATAGCTCAACGAAGTCGTTCATCATCATGTGGAAACGTGTAGCGGCCACATTCTCTAAACCTCACCCCTGTCTCC